AAAAAAAAAAAAAAAAAAAAGAAGAAGAAAAAGAAGGTTGGGTAACAAGAGAAAGAGAAAGAGAGAAAGAGAGAGACGCTACCCCCTGGTGCATCAGCAGGGGATGACAACTTCTGCCTGGAGCTCACCATGCTTTCCATCTAGAACTTTGTTTTCTTTTAAGGTGACCTGGCAGCTGGGCCCAAACCCCAAAGAATATGTGAGAAAAAATAACAATGCATGCAAGAAACCCACTAGCCTCCGAGAAGGAAAACAAGCAGAACAACTAGATTAGGTGTTATCTAGTGAAAAGAACTGGGGAGGAAGCAAACAATAGCTTGAACTCTTCTTTCCTCACTCTTGGTAAAAATGTAGGAACTCTTACAGATATCTAATTAGACCACAAACAACTTTTTATTCTAAAACGCAATGTTTTTTTTTTAATTTTTAAAAATGTTTTCATAGCACTTTATTATTATCCATAATTATCATATATATCTATTTACATATCTATTTTCTTTTATATTAAGTTCTGGGGTTAATATACAAACTGTCTTAGATAAATTGAAGAGAAAATGGCCACTGACGAGGCCAAAATTTGTGGCTTGGAAGACAATTTTTTAGATATTTGGAAAGCATGAAGAAACTATAAAAGCTTTGAAGGACTCATCTAGGAGATCTAATGTATGAATAGTAGGCATTTCTGAAAGAAGAGGGTTATATAGAGGAGGAGCCATAATAAACAAAAAGAAAACACAAATTCCCCAGAGCTTACTAAAGAAGTCATTTTGCAGATTGGCAAGCTCATTATATCAGGTCATCCCAATATCATTCCTAAATTCCAAGGGTGTAATAACAGTCTTACAATCTTCCAGACAGAAAGTGCAAGGTGTTTTCAAAGGAAAAAGTATTGAACTTCTCATACACAATGTGGAAAGAAAAGATTATAGAATGACATCCACAGAACATCTAGAATATAGGCTTAAAGGACAGCAACTCTGAGACCCAAAAGTACTACTCTCTGCCAAAATACCACTTCTTTCCAGAGAAGATATATAAAGATACAGAGGAAATACCATCTAGATACCTGCTTGAGGAAACTCTTCTACAGAAGACTAATCAAACAGATGAATCAGGACAGATAAAGAAATCCACCTTAGAAACAGAAGAACTGTAAAGAATCATGACTACTTTACTCAATTACATGCAAATCAATTTGAAAATGTGGATGAAACGGATAATTTTCTCAGAAGAAAGCATTTTTAAAGCCTAAATCAGGAGGCACAGAAAATCAAAACAGCTTGATTTCATCCCTACAAACAAACAAATATTTAAGAACTGATAATTCTATTGCTACTTAAACAGTTTCAAAGCATGGGCTAAGAATGAAAATTTCTAAATTATTTTCATAAAGTAAGCATAACATATTAGCAAATAAAATCCAGCAGTACTTGAAATAATAAAGCATAATCAATATGGTTTGTTCTAAGTTTCAAATTAGAAAATCTAGTGATATACTTAATTATAATAACAAATCTAAGGAGAAAGAAACCCATGTGCTTATTTATACAGATACCAAAATGGCATTTGATAACTTTCAACACCAGTTCTATCTTTTAACAAAGAAATATTATTCAATAAATATGAGAAGGTATTTCCTTAACATGGTAAGATATATCTTTCTTGATCCCAGCGCCAGCATCATGTTTAGTGTGGAAACAGAAAAACATTCCTGTAAAAGGTAAGAAGAAGATGAGAATATCTACTACCATTGTTGTTATTTAACATTGTTATGCAAATACTAACCAAGACATTAGACAACAGAAAGAAAGTTGAGGTACAGAGTTGGAAAGCTGCTGGTTAAACTATCAGGATTTGCAAGTTAGGCAATTGCGTATTCAGTAAACTCCAAAGAATTAACGGAAGAACTATTACAAACAGTAGGAATGTGGTAGGGTAATGGGGTATAAATTACTAAACAGAAACTGATAACTTTAATATGTAAAACAGTATCTTATAACATGTAATAGATGAAAAGGCCCACTTAATAATAGAGACAAAGTTATCCAGTAAAAAAACTTGGTCAGAAATATGCAAAACACATATGAAGCAACATTTAAAATACATTTTGAAGGGCACAAAAGACGCCTTGAACAAATAAAAGGCATAGCATATTTTTGAATAGGAAAACTCAACATCCTAAGTTTCACAATTTAATGTGATTGCCTCATAATATGGATAGGATTT